TATTCTATGTCTAAAAATTGGAATGAGGCGACCAAGTGTAGAATGGTATGTGTTCATGTACCAGAAAGAATGAGAACATGAATTTGGAAACTAATTAAGACGGCAAAGTATGACTGGGGTGCTCTGAAAGATGAAATAATTAAGAAGATTAGAAATGAAGATGATGAGAAAATAAGGATAAAACAGTTAAAGTCGATTGTGCAAAATAAAGAGAAGACTGTGCGAGAATATATAAATAGATTTGATGCTTACATGGAACCAATTAAGGATGTCATAAGAAAAGATGAAAAGCTTGACTGGTTCCTTGAAGAACTTAATGATTCATTTAGAACTAGAGTAGAATTTCGTTGCCCTAAGAAATATGATAATGCAAGAAAATGGGCTTTGCAAGTTGAAAATTATCAAAGAAAAAAGGAATGTAAAGACATACAAAAGGATACAGTTATTCAAGAAGAAGGTAATTACTCAATTCAGAGTGAGATTGATGAACTGAAAACTGCTTTCAGTGATATAAAGATCAATTGTGTAGATCAGCCATCTATAAAACGTGAAGAAATAGAGTCAATCATCAAAGAAGTCTTAACAAGGACAAAGAAAGGCAAAGACAAGAATTGGAATTAAACAAGTGGTTCAAAAGTAATAAAATGGTTTAATTGTTATGAAGAAGGTCATATGGCACAAAATTGCCCAAAACAGAACTATTCTAAAGAAAATAAAAGTGATGATATTCAGATTGTTGGGGCAGATGTACGTTTTATAGTGCTTATGGAAGGACAAGTAGATGTAGAACAAGATCATCTTCAGGTTGAAATAATGGATGCTAATGAATTGTTTGATGTAAGTGCTTTAAAAAGAAGATTGAGAAGTGAATTGCAATTACCTTCCAAAAGAAATAGAATTCAAGAACCTGTAATTGCAAAACCGTTATCAAAGAAAGATAATGTTATGATGTATATACCATTAACTGAGTTGACACAGAAATTTAATACTTTGAAGACAATAGCTGAATTAGAGGTTACGCTTAAATTAGGTCAGCTTTTTAACATATCACTCAAAGCTAGGGTAGAAGTCTTAAAAGCTTTATCCAGAAAAAGAAAAGAACAGGATATTGTAGATAAAACTATTAAGATTAGAATAGTTCTGGCAGAGCTATATAAGTATAAACCTGAAAATGAGGTTGTACTATACTATTACGACTAATATCAGTAAATGGAAAGGAAGTTGAAGCACTTATAGATCCTAGATCTCGATTAAATTTAATTCACAAGAATTTTGCTGTAAATAGAGGTTTAATATAGGAACAAGTATCCAGCAAAGGTAGAATGGCTAATAATTATGTAAGCAAATTTGTTGGATTTATTCCTAACCTTAAAGTTGAAATGGATGGAATAAGTATTATACAAAGATTTTATGTTAAGGAAGATGCTAGCTTCGAAGCTTTATTAGGAATGCCTTAAATAGCAAAAGTATATAGTAATCTTCAGTGGAAAGGTAATGAATATTGGTATACATTATCCAAACCTGACAAAGTAATATCTTTTGTTGTTTCACGAGTACTAGAAGATTGGATAAAAGAAGCCAATGATGAGGCTGATGAATATGAAGTTGAGGAAGACGATTATGGAGATGATAATGATATTATGGCTGTAAGATGAGTTAATATAGAACCATGTTTATCAGAAAGTAATTTAGAAAAGATAATAAAATATGCGAATAATAGAAAAAGAATTAATATAAAGGAATGTGAATTAATTAATAAGAAAGAATTAGAAGAGCATGAAGGCTATGTAGTATATTGGAATATTAACAATGAGAATAAGAATAGATTAGTAGAAAATTTAAATCCCTTATTAGTTAGAAGACTAACAAAAGAAAATTGTAAAATATTAAATATCAGATCTGATATTACTATAGAGCAAAAAGCAATAATTGTTGAAACTTTAATCAAAGAAGTTCCAGAGGTATTTGCTTTTAATATGTCTGAGTTGGAAAAGACTAATTTAGTCAAATATGAGATTAGAACTAGTGGAAAGGAGATTCCATCATTGCGACTTAAACCAATTCGAATGAATAATTCAAAAAAGGCTAAAGAATTCAAAGACCATTTGAAATATATGATTAAGTATGGTCTTTTAGAGGAAGGTTCTGGACAGTATGCCTATTATTGTTTCCCTGTAGCAAAAAAGGAAAGGAAAACAGATAAAATAAAAGCTGTATGAAATATGAAACCCTTAAACAAGTATATTAATAAGAACAGTTACCCATTACCTTTAATTTGGGATATATTAGAAAAAGCTGCAGATCATGACTGGTACTCTAGTGTTGATGCATTTAAGGGGTACTGGCAAATTAAAATTAGAGACCAAGTTCGAAATAAGGTAGCTGTTGCTACATCTTTAGGAGTACTCCGATACACAGTAATGTGTATGGGATTAAAGAATGCTAGTGAAACATATCAAAGAATGATGGATATTATTTTAAAAGTATCTGCAGTATATCAAGATGATGTAGGTTTATGGACGAATAGTGATGTAGAATATCATATAAGTATTTTGGTGAAGTTGGCTAAGAAATTTAAAGAAGCTGGAATTACATTTGCAGCAAAGAAATGCTATATAGCATACCATAAGTTAGATATGTATGGCTTTATTGTTAGCAAGGCTGGAATTAAATTGAATCCAAAAAGAATTAAAAGGATACTATATTGGAGTGAACCAAGAAATCAGAAAGAAGTATGATCATTTCTTGGTGTTGCCAATTATTACCATCGATTTGTTAAAAACTTTAGCAAAATTGCTGGTCCAATTACAAGTCTTACAAAGAAAAATGATTCATTTTATTTGGGAGAAAAAGAAAGAGAAACTTTTAATATATTGAAAAGAAAATTGTCAAAAGAAATTATTTTAAAGGCTCCAGATTGAAATTCAGCAAAAGAAGGTAGTAAACCTTATAAAATGTATACAGATGCAAGTAAATCAGCATTGGGTGTAGTATTAGAACAAGAAGATTATGAAGGATTATCAAGGCCTATATCATTTGATTCTAGAAAACTAAATGTTCATGAGTTAAATTATACTGTTATAGAGAAAAAGTGTCTTGCTATAATATTTGGTTGTAATGTTAATGAGCGATATATTGCTGGAATAGTTTTTGATATTTATGTTGATCATCAGGCATTAGAGTGGCTCTTTAATAAAGTAAAACTTAGAGGCTGTTTAATAAGATGGGTATTGATATTACAATCTACTGAATTCATTGTTAAGTACAAGCCAAGTAAAAAGTATGGAAATGCTGATGCAATGTCAAGATATCCGGATCCACCTAAATATTTGGAGAGAAATGATAAAGAATTTTTGGATGCAATATTAATAAGAGTTGATAATGTTAATTCTATTGTTGAAGATTTAAATGAAATAATTTATTACCTTAAGCATTGTTTATAGCGTACTGGAGTAGATCAATCAGATATATTGAGACTTCAAAGAAAAATAAAAAATTATTTTTTAATTGGAGACCAATTACACAAAAGGGGGGGAATGGAAGACCTCCAAAACGAGTAATTTTTGAAAAGAATAATAAATTACTTATCTTAAAGGCTAATCATGAAGGACTTGGTGAAGAAGGCGGACATAGAGGCATTAATGCCACAGCAAAAAAGATTTTAAGAAATTATGTATGGGCAGAAGGAAATATCTATAAGGATGCATGAGAGTATGTTTCAAGCTGTGAAGTCTGTCAAAAGACTGTGACAAAGACAATTAAAGAACCTATCTATGTACAAGCTACTAGTTGGATTTTTCACAAATTGTATATAGATTGTATTGGGCCTTTACCATGTACAGTCGCAGGACATGAACATATAGTAATAGCTGTAGAGAATTTGACAGGTTATGTAGAAGCAAGAGCTTTAAGAAAAAAGAATGCCAAATCAATTGCCCAATTTATTTGGGATGATGTAATTACAAGACATGGTTGTTTCTCAGCATTAATTTCTGACCGTGGGACTGAATTTAAAAATGCTGTTATGGAAGAATTGACTGCAAGATTGGGAGTTGATCAACGTTTTGTTGCTGCTTATCATCCTGAAGCCAATAGATGTGCTGAGAGGACAGTTTAGAAGCTCACTAGAATAATTAGAAAAGTTTTTGTTGAATGTCAGAATAGATGGCATGAATACCTTCGTGGTGCAGTCTGGGCAATTAATGTTACAATAAATGATCTTGGGTATTCACCATTTCAGCTTGTCTATGGACGTGATGCGGTGAATCCTGTTGAATTGATACTGGAGAGCTATCAAGTACTTATGGCGAAGCAGAGTTGGACTACAGATGAATTATTAGAATTCCGAATGAAACAGGTATTGGGATTGATTCATGAATTAAAGGAAGCAAAAACAAATCGGGATGAGGTTAGATTACGATGGAAGGAGTTTCATGACAAGCAGTCAAAAGAGAAGAATTCTCAAATATTACCTGGAGACTTAGTCCTTGTTTACAATTCTACTTTGGATAATTCACCACGCAAGCTGGATTATCGCTGGGTGGGACCATACATAGTCAAGAGAAAAGGAAAATTCGGTCAATTCTACCTATCCGAACTAGATGGTACTGATTTGAAGGATCCATTCACACGAAATCGGGTAAAGAAATTCAAGACCAGACATGAGAGCTTCGGAGATAGTACGGATGATGTCAAGGATGACAATCAGTTGGGGTCTAGCTCATGTCACGTGAGTGACGGTAAGAGTGACGATCAAAAGTCAAATTAGACTATGCAAAACAATGTTAACATAAAATTAAACTTAACTATAGCGTCATTATTGCAATGACAATAACATGATGTAATTGTATAGCATGTAAATATAAATAAAAAATGTAAAATAGAAGAAGAGAGTTAGTTTAGAATTTCACGCATAAAGAAAGCAGAACCTGAATAAAGAGAATAATACTTAATTTGATAGTAATTATATTTGCCGTTATAAAATAAAATAATATACCGGCGACCCATATTTAGTTAGATTTCGGGGCTAAATTAGTAGTATCGCTTAACCCCGTGACACATATTTATCTGATATATCTATTCTGTACTGTATTGGTGTTACCCAAAATTTTTTAAATTAAACCTACGTTTATCTGTTCCTGGTATAGCATAATAATGTCATGCAGCTACTTACATTAATAATATATTTTTTATTCTTTATATATTGTCGCAGCTGAAGCTGATACTGGAAATTAGTAATCTTGATATAAACCCAAACAAAATCCACCTATACTCTTTCATTATTAAAACTAGTCCCAAAAAATTATAAAATGTTCATATTAAAATAATTAAAATTTTCAGCTTCAGCCGCGACATATATTTATACAGAGAACGTATTTTTTAAACCAAATGTTCTCAAAAAAAATTTTATAGAGAACATCTTAAATTTTGTAAATGTTCTCAAATTAAAAATTAAATGAGGTTTAATTCGAGATTATAGTGCTTATATAATAACATACAAAAAATAATAAGAAGAAAAAAATTTATGATCATAAAAGTTTGCACGATAATTAAATTTAAATGTTGTTATTTTATTATTATTATTATTACATTACTTACTTGATTATTATATCAAACATTTTAACAAAAATGTTTGTTACTTTAATTCTTTTCATACCATTTTCATAAGCAACAACACTCAATTCATCTTTAAAGTATAAGCACTGAGAATTCAAGATTACAGAATGCGTTTTAAATGCTTTGTTGTTTAGCTCTTGACCAACTTCAATAATGACATTATATTAGTCTCCAATTATAAAAGGGTCACCTAAATTGTTTGAAAGCTTTTCAAGTAACTCGACTGTCATTTTAAAGGGTTGCAAGGAAGCAATTCTTTAAACTCTATCAATTAATTTTA